CTCCTGAGGTAGATGCGTGCACAGGTGTGCAGGGGCCTCCTGAGGTGGCGCTGGCACAACAGCAATCTCCTGTGACTCGTGGTGGGGTCCTTAGCCCCCATGAACTTGACTGAAGGGCAGAACCGAGCCATGGCTGCCCAGGTTCTGCCTGGTGTGAGCGCAGTCAGCCATCTGTGAGGCTGTGCTGAGCTCTTGTTAAAGTCCTGCTTCTGCTAGAGCCCTTCTTCCATCCAGTTTGCTGCCTTTGCGCAACTTTGGTTTCTCTCCTGAAGCGTGGGCCCTGTCTCCCCTTGCAAGATCCAGGCTACCACCAGGGGGCGCAGTACGGTGCAGCCCAGAGGTTCTGGGCAGCTCTGGAGGGACAGGGACAGAGTTGGTACCGTCAGGGCCAGTGTGTGGGGGGGGCTGCCAGCCAGGCAGGAGGAGGTGCTTGCAGGAAAGCCAGCTCCCCTGTGTGGGCCTGGCTCCCAGTGGCTGCTGGTTGGCCTCTGCTTGTGTCAAGCCCCTAGCCCACATGCCGGGCATGGGCTCCCTCTGTCCCTGCGAGATGCGTTTGTCCGGCCCAGAGGGTCCCAGCCTGTCCTCCCCCTCTAGGAAGCCAGGGAGGTCACTCAGGGTCCCAGGAAGGTCCAGATCCAGAGCACACTGCCCCCTGCTGTCCTGTGGCATCCCGTGGGGACCCCAGGGCTCAGAAGAGATGACTGGCTTGGGTGTCTGGCGGGGACTTGCGCCTCCTCCTAGCGTGTCCAATGCCCTGGCATCCCATCCGCCACACCATTGGCACCTAACTGTGGAGCTGGGAGCAGGGGCCCTGCAGGGCCTTCCCAGGCAGTGGCCACCTGCACCTGGGACTCGTTCATCCAGCCTCCTCCCCAGAGCAGGAAGGGGCTCAGGACGGGGCTGGGAGGCAGGCTCAGAAGGAGGGACACTGTACGTTTAGCCCATATAGCCGTGTTTAGGTGACTAAGCCGTGTGTCGCTTAGTCTGTGGGTGACAAAGTTCCTCAGTGGCTCCCGAGTTCACGTCTGCTGCACCCTAGCACTCGGCCCCGTCCTGTGGCTAGCTGGTATGTCTCACAGGAAGCAGCTGCGTGTCCAGAGGGGACCAGAGCAACAGGCTTTGGTGTTGGCGAGGGAGCAGGATGCACAGCCAGCCAGGGAGGGGGGCACTGGGTGGGCGCCCCAGGATCCCGCCCTCTGCCAGGCAGCCCAGCCAATCCCTGTCACCAGGGAGCCCTTGGCCCTGCAGTAGGTTCCTTTATGGACCACTGAGCCGAGCGCTCACCTCGAGGTTGGACTCACAAGTCATTGGTCCCGGCAGGAGCTGTGGCATGGCTGAGGCAGAGGGCGTGGGCTGCTCTCCGGGCAGGAGAGCGGCTCCATGTCAGTCAGGCTTTTCCTTGAGAAACTGTTTGCTTTTCTACCCTCTGCTGTTTCCACCCTCCCGTCTGGAGGCAGCGAAAGCGGCCGCAGCACGCCCAGCCTCTCGGTGCTCTCGGACAGCCGGCCACCCTCCTCCACCTACCAGCAGGCGCCGCGCCACTTCCACGTCCCAGGTAGGCCCTTGCGCACCCACCGCATCAACAGAGCAGGCGCCTTTCCTGGACAGGACGGGCTGGGCATGTCCTGTGATTCCTTACCCCTCTCCTCCGCTGCCCCAATCTCTGAGCTTGTGCGCACACCTCATATCAACTTGGGTGCAAGTCTCCCCCCAGCCACCCCACACCTGGAGACGCCCTGGCTCCTGGAGAAGAGGGCTATCAGCGCTGGCTGCTCCTGCACACCAGGGCACTCACTTGCTCCTCCTTGGCCACCTCTGTCCCTGTCCCCTTCAGATCGGGGTGGCACCTGGAGTGGGGGTGCTTGTTGTAGGTGTGGGGCTTTGGCCCTGGCTCATTCCGGGTGCCAGCTCCTTCCTGGTGACTCTAAATCTGAGTGAGTGAGTGGCGCTGACAAGGGCCACCAGGCAGAAATCACCGCAGTCTGCTGCTTACCCTCCTGTTCTCTCCTTTCTGTTTCTCTTTTCTTTCCCAGACACTGGCGTAAAAGATAACATCTATAGGAAACCCCCTATCTACAAACAGCATGGTATGGTCGGAATCGGCTGCTGTGGTTTGCCCTGCATGCCTGTCGCCCCCTCGCTTCTGAATGCATCCTTTGCTGTGTCCCCACTGGCGTGGCACAGGCATGGGGCCCTTGCTGTCACGACGCAAGTGCAGTCTCTAGGGGTGCGGGAGGCCCCTTTCCATAAATGGCATTGACACGGGGCTCTGCAGGCCCATAATCTGGAGTTTCTGATGATGCTACTTAGAGGAAAAGCAGTCAGATTGACCTCAGCCAGGTGGGAGAGGTGGCTTCCCAGATGCTCACCAGCAGGTCAGGGCCTGGATTTCAGGAAACGTCGCAGTCCCGGAAACGCTCACTCACACCTCAATGAGGTCTTAGGTTCTGCACTTGGGAATTTCCGAGGGCACCACACAGTGCCTGGCCTTCAGTTACAGGGCTTCCTTGCCCAGTGGAGGTGTGGGGCACAAGGGTGTCCCCTGGCCCGTGGAGGAGCCAACTGCGTGGGCCGCAGAGCTGGAGACAGAAGGAGCCGAGTCAGGGCTTCTGAGGTTGGGGCCGGCTGCCTTGCTGTCTGAGCCCGTTTCCTCAGCTGAAAGGCAGGACCTCCCGCTCCGCCTGCCCTCTGGCTGGGCTGCTTGTGAGAACCTGGTGAGATACCGGGTGCGGAGGCGCAGCCCAGACCCCAGCGAGCCGTGCGCGTGTGCGGCTGCTGCAGGGAACAGCGCCCCTACGGGAAGCGCTCGCCCGGGTCGCCCAGGGAATGGCCGGCAGATGTGTGCCTCGGGTGGGCTCCTGAGTCTTCTCCGGCCAGCCGCCCGGCAGATGGGCAGTCCACTGTGTGAACGCGGGTGGTGCCTGTGTTCACTCCCTCCGTGACGGCACCAGGCTCTGCGCTCTGAGCCATTCTTCCTCTTCCCAAGCAAGAAAAAGTGAACTAATATCTCATTCTCCAGAGAGGAGCCTGAGTCTGTGGGCGGGGTTGGAGGGGATGGCGAGTTAGACTCCTAGACTGCCCCAAAGAGCTCGCTCGTGTTAGGGGGAAACTGAGGCCCAGGTGGAGGAAGGAGCTCCATTAAGGGCGCTGTGCTGGACCTCCTGCATGGAGCCTGTGTGTCTTGCGGTGCTGGAGCCTGGACGCAGGTGCCTTGTGGCCCCTTTATGGAGCATCACTGGCTCTGTGGGTCGGGCTGGGCACGGCAGATTGCAGGAGTCACCAGGTGCAGGAGAGGGCGACCATGGGAGGCGGAAGGGACAGAAAATCAACCGGGAGCTTCCCACTGTCCCAGGCAGGCCAGCCCTGAGACTAGGTGGCATCTGGTCCTCCACCTGCGCCCCCAGGGGAAGGGGGTGTTCTGTGGTGTCTTTGCATGTTAAGAAAACTTCTGGGTATAAACACGGCTCCTATCCAAAGGCAGTGTAACTCACATTTGTGAAAAAAGAAAAAAACGGAGGCCCGGAGTAGTGCCCAAGCCCTTCATCAGTCCTGAGTTTTGTTACATCAGTTCTGTCATGAAGTAGATCTCCTAGAGCCGTCCTTTCCCTCTGTCTCCCCCTCCCCAAGTTTTTGGCCATTCCCGGGGGCTAACCACAAGCGAACTCTGTCCTTGGCTTCTGTGTAGGTGGGCCACGGACATGGCGTGGACTGGGACACGGCTTGGAGCTTCGGTGTGGGACGTGCATGGCCAGGCCAACTCAGGGAGCCCCCGAAAGAGGCTGTGCCTGTTCTTGGCTTCCAGCCCAGGCCACCCAGGGCACATTTTTTTTTTTTTTTTTTTTTTT